TTCAGGAGCATGCCTTGGCCCAGGCAGAACTGCTAAAGCGTCAAGAAGAACTGGAAAGAAAAGCAGCTGAACTAGATCGCAGAGAAAGGGAAATGCAGAGTCTCAGTCAGCAGGGGGGTATGCATGAAAAAAATACTTCTTTAAATTGCAGAAAATTCACTTTTTCTTAGAAACTTTTAGTTTTACAGTGACATTGTGAAACAGATCAAAGAGGGGGTTTTATAATCTCTTCAGGAAAAGAAAGTTTATCTCCCTTGAGACAGTGCATACAGTAAATAAAAACTGGCCTGTCCTGTGCAGATTTTCACTGTAAAAATTTTAAATGTGGCCTCTGTTACATGTTACTCTCTGCTATCAGCTGTTTTTATTCTAGGTTAATATTTAAGTAATATTATTGAATGGAAATGGAGCATTTTGAGAAGAAGTAAAAGTGGCTTCATAAGTAACGTCTTTTCGATTTCTCTTCTCTATTTATAGCTGTAGGAGAACTTTCCTGTTTTGAAACATTTTCTTATCTTTTGCAATGTTACAGGCATAATATTCTATGCAAATAGCAGAAAGTTCTGTTCTATTTTTAATCTTTCATTAGTTTTTCATATGACACTTTGGAACCCATAATCAAGATCAGTATCTCATTTTGCCACAAACTGTAAGTGTGCTGTGCAAAACCATCAGGTTTTGTACAGCTGTTTCACAAATGAGAAGATTTGCATCCTCTTAGCTGAAGATGCTTTGCTAAAAGTAGATATATAGGAGCATTCCTTTTCAAAAGAAAGAACTTCAGACTGAAGTTAGGAAAAAAAACCCAAAACACTGTGTGCAAGGTTGACTTTGTGTGGTCTTCTCACTTGTATCTAGAATTCTGACTGTTTTATTTCCACATGTGCTGGTTTTTTTGAATATGTAGTGGTACAACTCCAGATTGCATAATTGGGTAGTAATTCAAATTCTCAGGGAATTTCATAGAATAGAACACAATATTTTCAGTTGAAAAGGATCTACAATGATCATCTGGTCCATCTGCCTAACCACTTCAGGGCTGACCAAAAGCTAAAGCATATATTATGGGCATTGTCCAAATGCGTCTTAAACACTGACAGGCTTGGGGCATTGACCAACTCTCTAGGAAGCCTGTTCCAGTGTTTGACCACCCTCCTGGTAAAGAAACGCTTCCTGATGTCCTGTCTAAACCTCCACTGGCACAGCTTTGAACCATTCCCACATGTCCTGTCACTGGATACCAAGAAGATCTCAGCACCTCCCTTTCCACTTTCCCTCCTCAGGAAGCGGTAGAGAGCAGTCATATGCCAGTCATTTGCTTGGATCTGGGAATGGGGAATTGCTGTTCTTCTAAGGAAAAGAATCGTAGTGATATTGTCCCTTCATCAAACCATTTTTATTTTCTCAGTATTTGTTCTTTTTAATCTCTCTATTAAATCTCTACCTCTTGTCCCAGATAATGATTCTTTTGGTTGTTTTTCCATTTTCTTCTCCATGTATTCCCCTTCATCTAATTTCACTAACTTATACTGATGGTCTGGATTGTTTACTTTTCTCTTCCAGGCTTTAGAGACAGTTTTGTTCATCTATATCTTATGGAACATAACTCTGATACCTCATGCATGTTTCAGGATATTTCTAAAATGGGTATTTGTTATTAGATTGCAGTTGTTTACATCGAAGTGCTTGAAGAATCCATGAAGAATCTAAAGGATTCTCTAGGAAGGCTGAACAGAGAAGAGAAAGCTCTTAAAGCTTTAAAGAAGATAATAGTTTTTTACCAAATGACTGTGTAAATGATGCTGCAAATCAGGAATTGTATATTGTGAGAAGAAAGATATTCTTTTCCTTTTGATTTTTTTTTTTCTTTTGCGCACTCATTTGAACTCCTTTGGAAACTGTAGAGTTGTCTTGATTGGAGGACAGGCTCTTTTGCAATACTCTAGCTATTTGCAATCAGTTTAAGATGCTGGCTGCACATCTAGGACACTTGTCATACGCAATTGACTACAGTGCAAATATCTTCAAGCTGGCAGGTCAGCTCAGCTTGATGCCTTTGCTCTTTCTCTGCTCAGGTCCTGTGCAGCTTTGCATTTGAGCTAATTAAAGTGTGCTGCTTCCTATTTCAGCTAGTTCATTTGGGCATGCCTGAAAATTCCTTTCTGGGCTTGCATGAAGCTAGTTTGGGGGTGTCTGCATTCATAGTGTAGGCGTGCCACTGAAGTTATGTTAATAGGCCTTGAGGTGGTAACCTGTGTTGAATGAAGTAACTTTGAGCTAGCTCTTTGTTTATCAAGATACAATCTTGGAATATGAGTATCCAAAGTGTATTTAGAAAAAGACCACTTAGGTTTTGATCTCAAACCGTCTCACCAAGCTGTCTTTCAGTCTTAGTTAAAAATTTTGAAACCTGTACCACAGCAGCACAAATGCACATGAAATACAACTTTAAATAATAACTTGAATTATTATAAGGTACCTGAATTTTTCTATAACTCTGTCTTGAAACTATCAGTCCTGAGAGAAATAACCATATACTGCAGAATGAAGATCTCAATTATTATTGGATATTTTTCACATAAGAAATCCCAAAGTAGTTTTTAATATGGATGGGAATATTACTTGATTACCTTCTGTATGGTGCCTCTGCCAATCCCCTGCTCTGACGTCTTGGTAAAAATTTCAGTAGAAGAGGCAGAAAACTTACAGGTACTTAGTGCTTTGGACCTGTTTGGACACAACTGACTGCTTAATCTTGTCCGAGTGGGGAAACAAATAAGAAACAATGCAAGTATGTAAGCTTTGCAAGTTTTCTGTTCTTAACCAGATGAACTGCTAGTGAAGGTATGGTTGAAGATAGAAATTGCAAGCAAAACCTTGTCAAAATTTCAAATAAAGGTGCCTTTAAGTTAGCCTCTAGTTCAGCTCCAGTTTTGGAACATGGTGATTAAGGTATGTCTTGCGTCCAGAATTTGAAATGCTGTGGTAAAGGTTTGTTGCAGTTACTCTCTCGGTTGAATCTCCGAGTCTGTGCTTGGTATGACTTGTGTTCAGCGGAACGTAGCCGATCAGCATACAGGAAATCCAAGTGTCTGATACTGTGTCCTTTGTGGTGTCCTCACCCTGTCACACAGCTGTATCAAAATCTAATGATACTGTAGGGCATCTTCTTGTAACGAAAAAGTAGTTTAGAGCATTTCAGTAGCTTCCTTTCTTGAGGTTTATGGGCTTTTAGATAAAGCTTTGACTGTAAACTATATTGGGAACTAGTTCAAAGTGTTAGAGATAGCCTGGTGTTAAAAATATCAGAATGAAGAATGCTTTTCAGTCCCCAGTCTTTGTGTTCGACAAAGTATGTGAGTATGATGGGACTTCAGGGAAATGTGCATTTAAAAGTCAAGGAACTCTGAGAAATTGTTTTTCTGCCTGTATCTGCTTGTTTTGTGAAGAATTCTCTTTTCTCGTTACTTTATAGGAACTGTCAGATGCCTGCTTAGCCTTTTACATAGATAAAATATTGTACTTTCCTTGATCTGTCTGCACTTCATTGTATTTTATTTCTGAAGTTTATTTTTGGTATAGTGTGAGGATTGCTGATGAAACTCTTGGGTTTGGGTAGCCCAAGTTACCCATACGCTTGTGAAACCCATACATAAAATAATTTTAACAAGTCCAAATGCATATCCTTTTCTAGTATACAGAGATTAAAACTGTATTATAAAGCTCTTTTTTTTTCCTGTTTTGCAGGTAGAAAAAATAACTGGCCACCTCTTCCTGAGAATTTTCCAGTAGGTCCTTGTTTCTACCAGGACTTTTCTGTAGACATTCCTGTAGAATTCCAGAAGACGGTAAAGATTATGTACTATTTGTGGATGTGTAAGTATTTTTTTTAAAAGAAAAAAGAAAATGCCCATTCAAACTTGATGATACATACCTGCTACTTTGACTTTTGCAACATCTGTAATATGAAGTTGTTTTAAATCCGGAAGTCAAAATGTTGAAGTGAAATCTTTTTGTTAGCTTCAATTTTAAAAGTATGGAATGATTTCATAGAAACTTCCACAGAAAAAAAGGAGGAGGATTATCCTAAGGCAATTTGGTTCTAATATATTGCAGTTTTCTGGTTCAAGTATTTCTGTTGTAAAATGAGCTTTGACCATTTATGAACTTAGAAATAATTTTAGTGTTTTTAGAATCAGCTTATATATTAAGAAATACAGTTCATAATCAGTGTTAGTAGACTTGTGAATTTAAGAAGTATGATATCCATTTGCTTCAATATACGTAGCTTTATATAGTTTAATATAGGTTTTTAGTCTACAGTGGAGACTTAATATCATTTTAGTCTGTTTAAAAAAATAGTGTAAAGTAAATAGTGTAAAATAAATCAGTCAATGTTAAAACTATCCTTTGTACACCAAGAATGCTCTACACCATCTTTCTGGCATTAATTTTGCCCTCATTCAGGTGCTGTGTTTTGAGTGGAGAAATGCTGCATGAAGGAAATGTACAAATGCCACAACATTTGTTTCTTCTGCCTTGTCCAGTGTGATGAGAGCTTAATAATTACTCTAAGACTGAGGAAGTTCCAAAGATTTAGGTGCTTTGATGCCTTTAATATACTTTTAGCATACTAAGGGAATGCAAATTTCAGAACTTTTCTGTATTTTTTTCAGGGCTTGAGATTTAGTTAGCAAATCTCTGTAATTTTACTTGTTAATCTGGTAATCTTATTACTGTGATTGAGCCCCATAATTGAAATGCATAAAATGAGCAGTCAGCATTGAATCGAGTGAATTCCACTTCATCATAATCCACAGCTTTCTATATTCATGGCTGGGTCATTAATCTTCAAATAGGCAACTAAATCCACCATAGAATGTGTGACTAGTCACTCATAAATCTGACAGATATTTAAGATTTATATGAAATCTAAGATCAAGTACTCCAAAATCTTAGGATAGTTACGAATTCTGGCCATTTGCAGGACTGAGTTCTGAAAGTGCCGTATGTTTCAAACACAAGGTGAAGTTGGGCAGTGAGAATTAGAATATTAATACTGTTTTTCCTTCTTACGGCAATAAATAAAGGAAGTAGCAATGTTACAGTGTTTCAAAATATATAGGAGTTGTGCTTTTATACTACCATGACAGATTTTCTTCTAGGTAGACTGAGATTTTAACTGAGTCCTCTTGCTCTTTTCCTTCTTTAGCTCAAGTACTCTCTGACTTCGGGATTACTCAGGAAGGAAGGAAAAGGGCATAATAAAGACAAAATCTATTTCAAGCTTAAAAAAAAAAAAAAAAAAAAAAGGGGAAAAGAAACCCGTGCCCTTAGGGGCGCCTGTGTA